GGTCTGGGATGTAAAGCTATTGTGAAAACACCCATGGTGCAGAGTCCCGGGACTTTTGGTTTCACCTTCCAGAACCTTCTCTCTGGTTCTGAAGATGCTGCTTCCTCCCTCGGTTTCTTCCGCTGAGGCGATCATCTTTCTGACTAGGTGGTTGAATTAAGATGCTGACTACAACATACCTTCTCTCTGCCTGAGGGCCTGCCCGTGAGAAGCCTGTGGAAAGTCTGACTTTCTCCCTGTCTGTGTTTCTGCAGCCTTAGCTGAGAGCTTCCTCCGGGTGACTGGCCAGCCCCGCCACATGTCACATTGGCCACCGCGGGCTGCATTCCCCAGACACATTGCTGTCCCCTTGGTGTCAGTGCAGGACTGGTTCCAGGACCCCCAGGGCACTGACGTCTGCAGAAGTCAAGTCCTTGAAGTCCTCACGTTTGCACACACCTGGCCTGTGCGCAGGTCCTCTCCAGGGGACCTGTAAGGCCAGTAAGATGGAGACACTAGAAATGGTTACTAAAACTCTGCTATCTGGGAATAACGATAAGGAACAAATCTACCTATTCAGTGCAGAAGCAGTAGTGGTTTTGCTTGTTTAATTTTAATCCATGCTTGTTTTAATCCATAGATACAGGACCCATGGACATGGAGGACTGACTTGTATACTTTTAATATTGTACTTTCACCTTAAAACAATTCCACATCTTTAAAGAAATTTTTGAAAAAGAGAAGCCTGTAACCCACATAGCTCCATGACTTTCATTTATTTAAATTTCCTATTTTGCCCCTTCCCTTTTGCTGAACACTGGGGAGCACCACAGGCAGAGAGTTGGCCTTGCTCACTGATTACGCCCTTAAGAGGAACTGAAAGAGAAACAATCGGATCAATGGGTCTAATCATGTTTCAGTCTTGATGTATTCCAGCTAGCTTTCCAAAAGCTTTAAACAACTTATAACGCCACCAAGAGTGAGCAGTTTTAAACTGCAAGTCTACAAGGATTACATGAGATTTTGCTGACTTTGTAGATAAAGGTTGTTTTAGTTTTAATTTCTTTGATGAGTAGGGAAGGCTTGGTTTGGTGTTGTTTCTCCTCAACTCCATGCATTTTTAAAATAGCCTGTGGCTGCTCCTTCATCCCAGTTCTCCCCATTCTGGCTTCAAAGCAGAGGTGCCCGAGGCCTGAGGGCTGCAGGGACGGTGAATGTTGCCTTCCAGTCAGTCACACGCCTAGATCTCCCCAGCCACAGAGGGTTAGAGACAGCTAGGAGACTGGAATGGGGACAGAGAAATCTGTACTGGGAGAGGGCCAGCTCCTCCAGTTCCTCCCTTTCCTGTGCCGACAGGCTGTTCTAGGCTGACGTCACTGCATGCTGGGCTGGGCCCGGCTAGTTACCTTCCCAGCACACTCTGCAGCTGTCTGTGTTCACAGATACTTTTCCTTCCACCCTCTGGGTGCTGGGTATGGAACCCAGAGCCTCACACACCTAGGCCAGGTGCTTCACCCTCAGCCCCAAGGACAATGCTGCCCCCTACAGCCTCCTCCTTTTCAGGTTTGCAGTCTTCCTCCCTATGTGAGGGAGCCGAGGGGGCATAGCCCCAATTCTTTCTGTTTGGGCAGAAAGAGCTCATCCTCCATGGGGACAGAGGCCTCCTTTAACATTTAACCTAGCAGCTCCAGGTGACTTACCCTAAATGACCCTAATCCAGTTCTGCCAGCTACTGAACAGGTCACCCCATTGTCTCCTCCTACAGACAAGGTTGGGGGGCGACGAGAAGGTCTTCCAGCATGCTCCTCTCGGTAGGCTTTTTGGCTTCCCAGGATATATTTTTCCCTGCTTCAAGGACTTCTCTCAATTCACTGGGCCTCTTCCAGTGAAAAGGAAATGGATTTGGGTTTGGTAACATAGGCCACAGCCTCCAGAATCTGGTGGAACTGGGACTCCAGCCTCCCACAGCATTGTGGCTTAGATCTAAACTGTCTTCCAAAAGGCTTATGTGTGTGGGAGGTGATTGGATCTTGGGGAGTTATACTCACCAGTGTGTTCATCCAGTGTTGAGGAGTTGTAGCTGAATGTGCCGTGGGGGGGTCTATTTGGAGGTGGTCCCTGGGGTGGGACCTAGAAGAATGCACTCTTGTCTGGGGATCCTCCTTCCTGATTCCTGGCAGCCATGGGGTGAGCACCTTTGCTCTGTTTCGCCAAGTTGTTTCTTCCTTGGAGCAAGCTAACTATGGACTGAATCCTCTAATACCATGAGCCAGAAATACCTCTCCTCCTTTAAGTTGTAGGTGTTGGGTATTTTGTCCAGCTACAGAAAAGTAACAAAGACACACACACACAATTTTGACCCATAATCCTCAGATCTATGGTGCAGGATTCCTGAAGCCATTGAGACTCTGCAGGGTGATGTCCTTTTGCTGTCAAGATACTGATTTTGTAGTTTTAGAGTGAGTATTGCTATGTAGTTCAGGCTGGGCTCAAACTCATGGCAATCCTCCTGCCTCAGCCTCCTGAGTGCTGAGACAACAGGTGTATACCACCTCGCCAGGCTCAACATACTGATTTTTCCCCTAGACTTTTCATGGGACTGTCAGAATTGCTTCTGTCAAGGGGCAGAGGGATGACAAGAAAGAGACATTTGGTGAGAAATTATGGTTGGGACTTCTACCACATCTCCAGATGCTAGGGTCCTCCTTGAGAGGGTGATCTAGGCACGGTGAGCTCCCTATTCTGATAGCAAACAGCTGTCCTAGAAAAAGCTTCCCATTGACCTGAAAGGCTATGTCCCATGAACCATTGGGGGGCCTTCAGGACAATCTCATTCAGAAACTCCCCAGAAAGACTGAGCAGAACCAGGTCCTTCCCCACACAGCGAGGGTCCCTGGGCCACCTGGGCAACGCCCACTGGCTTCTCTTCGTCCTGACTTCTGAAAACCCTTCATAAACGGGGCATGAGGCCTGCAGATGGGCTGAGTCTCGGCATTGTTTTCACACTTGCCATTTGCCTTTTACTCCTAGTTATCAGAGAGACTTTGTTGTTTTGTTTTGCATTCTGCTATGCAAGAGGTCCTTTTTGTTTTACAAAATTGTTTTCTTTTTAGTTTTCCTACATTTTTGTTATACTTAGAAAAACCTTCCTCACTCTGGTATTATTTTTAGAATCCTCTCATATTTAATTTCATTGCTAAGAATGATTTCAATGCTAACATTTCCTTTTATGGAATGTGTGATTTGGACTCTAGCTTCATTTTTCCAGGTACCACACTGTCCTGATTTGAAATGTCGTGATTAGCACTCATGCAAGCCCTTCATGTGTAAGCGATGGTTCTGCCACAGGGCACTCTCTCTAATCATCCATCAGAGAAGCTCTCATCACTGCAGCTTTGTGTGTGTTTACTATTTGGCCCAGGTAGTCTGCTCCTACCCCTGCTACATATTTCTTTTTTTCTAGAACTTTTCTCCCAAGTTCACACATTTGTCTCCTCAAGGAGCCTGCATTGTCTAATGCATAACAAAGGATATGGTTTTTTGTTTGTTTGGTTGGTTTTGGTTTCTAGTTATAATTTATGGGTTTGGCTAAGTCCCATTTGCAGCATCGTTTTTATGTATCTTTATATAGACTTTTGGCACATTTCTGATTAATTTTACTCCTGTGTCCCTTTTGTGGTTGTTGCTACTGTGCACAGGATATGTTTTTGTTGTATGTTATACTAACATCATTTCACTTGTCTATATGAAAGCTAATGACAATAGTATATAAAATTTTTAACCCAGATACCATGCAAAAGTATTTTACTGTTCATAATTCCCTGGAAAATGAAAGAAAATCCTATGGAAAGAAAAATTACCATGGTAGCTGCAAATGATGATGAATTTGTCTTTTAAACAATTTATATACATTACCTTCTGCATGTTGGATTGACTGTTCTCTAGGGCAGGCATGTTAGTTTTCTGTTACTGTGACAAAATACCTGAGATAAACAACATACAGAAGGAGAGGTTTATCTCGGCTCATAGTTTCAGAGGCTCCAGTCCACGGTCACTTGGACATGTTACTTGGGTGTTGGCAACACAGGACATGACAGGAACACATGGCTGAAGAGGATGCTCACCTCATGTGGCAAAGAGAGAGGAAGGGCCAAGGTCCCACTGTCTCCTCCAAGGTTGTACCCCAAGGACCTACCTCCTTCAACTGGATCCCCCATATCATCGCACCAAGCTGGCTGCCAAGCTCTCAGCATATTGACCTTTGGGGCCATTCAAGATCCAACACTTCTGGTCCCAAGGGTTATGGATGAGGGGTACTCAACCTGCACCAATGTAGAGAAACACAGAGGGCAAAGGAACGGTAACCACACCACAGCAAAGCATGCAGCAATCCAAGCCATGGGAAACGGAACATGCAAGTGAGGGTTTCCAACAAATTGTAAGGGAAAAAAGAGAAAATTTGGGAGAGCCACCTCTAAGTCAAACAACACTTAAAACACAGCAGTCAGCTGAAATGTGTGGGCTTGTTTGGATCCTGATTTGAGTAAATGAGGTGTCAGAAAATTATTCACAAGACGGAGAAATTTGAACACTTGCTGTCTCCTTAATAACATTTCTGAATTACGATTTTTCCATTTTATGATGGTACTCAGATGCACACACCCACAGAAACCATCCTTTGGATTTTGAATTTGGCTCTTTTCTTACATGCCGTAGTGCCCTGCATCAAGATGCTGAGCAGCAGCCCAGGGCCACAGCTCCCTGGATCCCCAAGGCAAGGAAGGGAATGGCCCACCCTGGCCCCCATGCATTGTCATCCCTGAGCTAGAGCAGGTGGGGTGCATGGCATTCATTTTCAGCTTCACCATCCAATACCTCCCATTGATGTTGGGTTTACCCAGTGTTAACCCCACGGTGAGTCCACGGGCATCTGTGAATTATTTTCAGTGTGATAATAGCATTATAACTGTTTTATAAATCTTTGTCTTTAATGATATGTATGAAAAAATTGATGGATGCCATGATGTGAGGTCGGTAATTTGGTTCAACATAAAATAAGGGGTAGGATGTGGACGCCTCAGATGTAAGAAGGGTGGTCGTCTCAGGTGTGAGAGGAGGGCTCCTTCCTCTCCTTCTTCATCCTCTTGTGGAAGCTTTGGCTGGATCTAAGGACCCAGATGATAGGAGAGCTGATAAGCCAGAGAAAGGTACACGTATTTTATTAATTTGACATGGGCTCTTCACAGAGAGTGAAATCCAAAGCAATGACCAATTCATGGCTCTTAGACATTTCAGGCAAGAAACAGTAGATATGTAAAGGAATGACAGGACCAACGGATACTTGGAGTGGGGTAGTAAACTCTAGGGATGTAACAACCTACATTCAGAGGGTGCAAAGCAAAGTCTTTGTTTATCAGATTCACTGCAGCCCCATTTAAGTGTCTCCGGTGACCAAACCTATTTCCTGGTCTTGGAAGGAGCAGGGCTTTCCTCCCGGAAGAATCTCTCCGGCTGGCTGCATGTAGGGAAGTCTAACCAAACGGCCCTTCCTGAAGTCACAGTTCCTCAAGTGCTTTTGACCTGAAGTGATCAGTACTGCAGCTCAGCCTACTCTAAGGTGGTAGAGCCTTAACTCTTTCAGAACCCATGTGTATCAATACAGCCACACATCACTTAGCAACAGGGTTTCGCCCTTACAAAAGTGTGTTGGTTGCTGCAAGTGTTACACGGACACTGGAGAGCGAACTTACGTAAGCTGGGACAGAGATGCTGATATATCCTCATGGGGACATCTTCCTGCAGCCCTTCATCACTGACAGAAAAGGCTGGGGAGAAAAAGACCAAAACATGAACAGTGACTACACCAGCTAAGGATATCTATTGTTGTTTTCTGTTTGGCTTTTGTTTTTTTATTTATTTTTTTACAAATACTCTATAGCAGTATATCTTCATTTTTAAAAGATATTCTTTAAAGTGAATAAGAGTAGGCATTTGATACACAGCAGTTTATCCTGCTGTATCATTTATCCTGTTTAGTTAGTCTTCCAGAGCAGAAAGACTTGGTCCTGCACGTGAAAAGGGCAAAACATAGTCTACTGATTTCTACTGCATGGCTTTTAAAGATTTTTTCCAGTAGTGGGCTCAGATATTTCCCTACATAGCCTGTATTTCCTGTTTTTGGTCTTCTCACTGCTCATCGTGAGCTGGATCGAGACTTTTACAATGATGAAGCAAGGCCACTTACAAAGCTTATGAGAAGCCAGGAGCAAAGACTCGATAGTTCTATAGACTGGCTGTGGTCACCACACCATCCTCTCAGAAACTGCAGACAACCCCAATGCTGCTCTGGAAATTAAAGACAGCCAGGTGCAGGGACACTGGACATGAACATTAATAATTAACAAAGTATCATCCCAAGGTTTTCAGATGCCTCATTTTCAGAGAAATCTACTCTCTCTCCACCCACAACAAACCAGTATGTGCAAGCCATAGGAAAGACTTACTTCCTGCATCTGGTTTTATTAAATTTGGGGGGCTCTGTCTCCAAAGACACCTCAAATTGTATCGAAACAAAAATAGTGGAGTCAGGTTCAAAGCCCCAAGCAACTGTTCTGGCCCCAAAAGAGCCCCAGGCTCCAAGATCTGGGAGAGGGGACACTGCTAAATAAATAACCCTCTTAGAGATGGAAATGAAGGTTCACCTTTAAAAAGGAAGAAAGGCAGTAATGTGGTTCTCCTCTCTGTACCAACTGTGCCATTTATAAAAATAACAGAGATCTCAAAACTGAGCTAAGTTCATCCCTTTGGGCTGCTGGGAGGCAGGCTTCCATACCCTCGGGTGGTCGGCACCAAGGAAAGTGAAGGAAAGGGACAAGGGAAACTGTGGGAGGAAGTGCTTGGAACAGATGGGAGGATGTTTGGAAGCATTATTAGGAGTTATTTAGTGATAATAGGTTGAATTTAAACCAGGCCCTGGGAGATCAAGAACCTGAAGGAACTGGAGAATGTTCAACATGAAGTATTTTGGGACCCACTTTATAGAAGTAATGGCTTTTCCCATTGTCTGCCAAGCACAAACTAGTGTGGGTAATTATGTTTCACTTGATCGATCTGTACTTTCAAGACTGTTCATTTGGATGAAATCTCTTTTGAGGTCTAACAGATCCAAACCTGCTAGAGTCCCCACTTGCCCAATGTACATGGCAGGGTTGAAGAAAACTGAAGACAGAGCTAAAGAGAAAGTGTGATCTGGGATGGCCCTGCTCCTTTGGCAAAAGGCACTGGCCCATCTCTTCCACTGAATTTTATTATTCATCAACCAGGGTAAAGGTGCGATACATGTATACATGTGCGGTATGTGAAATTACCATGGAAACTAATGCAGGCAAGGCTTTAAAAAGAAGTCAAAGCATTTTCAAATTAGAAGCAAGATGGACCAAATATAAGATTGTAATTTGAACATTGAACCTTCTAGTCTGAAGGTTCTAGCTGTGGGAGCAGAATTTGGGTGTGACTTATTCTGACCTCGGCACCTAGGCTTCAGCCAGACTCCTCAAAACCAATTGTGGGGCCAATTGCAGGGTTCACTCTTTTTTTTTTTTTTGGACTGGGTATCAAACTCAGGACCTTGTGCTTGTGAGGCAGGCAGCAGCACAACTGAGCTAAATTCCTGGCCCCCAGGATTAACTCTTTACAGTCTGCTTGTGGCACAATCAGTGTTACACTCTTCTGTACAAACCGGCAATGGTAGGATCAAAATAACTGGTTGATCACTGACAACTTTTGTTTTTTTAAATTGTTCTCAGTGGTCATGACTTTGGAGAATTGATCCTTTATATCTACTCAAAAGTAAAGCAAGAATTGTTTTTCTGTGGTACAGATTGAACTCAGATTGAACTTGTGTGTGCGAGGCAATACTGTGTACCATTGAGCAATATTGCCAGCCCATGGGGCAAGCACTAAATATAATAAAAACAGCCAAACAAGGGCCAAGGATTTAGCTCAGTGGTTCTGCTGCCTGCCTCACAAGTGCAAGGACCCGAGTTCAATCCCCTGTACAAAAAAAAAAAAAAAAAAAAAAAAAAAAAAAGGCCTTAAAAAGCCTTAGTGATTGTGCTAATTTATAGTGAATGGTCAACAGGCAGCCATGAAAGGCCAAGTGCAGAGGTGAACGAGCTTCCCTTTGCACAGATCTGACCTCCTGAACGTATTTTCTGCCCCTCCATGGCAGAGGTGAGGATCAGATTAATGTCTGGCTGAGTCAGGAGCACTGCATCCGTCTCTCCTGAGAAAACTCCGAGGCCTATTAGGGCTGGAATAATCTGCCCCCTTGGGTGTGTAGAGATCTGACAGACTCTCAAAAACCTCTAAAGTCTTGACTACATTCGCCTCAGCCCCTAAAGTACACAATCCAAAAACTAGCATGTGGCCAATAACAATGTGCCAAATATCCTGACTCCACCCTAGCTGCACCCCTGCCTTACCCTGCATAAGCCTGTGCATTTCCTGAAAAAAGCAGAAGCATTCCAGACACCTCCCCGGAGTCTGCCTGGTGATTCTGCGCCTTGCCCTCCCAGTCCGGGCCCCTGAACCTTGTTCCCTGAGCAGGCTTGCAGATGAAAACAACACATAGGCAGTTGTAGGATGGGGCATGGCAATGTGTTTGGTACTAGAGGAGGAAACAGCGAGGTTTGGTAAACATCTGTGACTGGTTTCCTACGGTGAATGTCCCTTCGGTGGAATCCTCTTAGGGCTACCATGGGCAACATCCATGCCATAGCTGTCCACAGCCCAGTCCAAACTCTGTCCCAGAGAAACATGGGCTGAAGCCCTTCTCAGAGTTCGTGGTCAAGGGTATCTTTACTCTCTGTGGTGGGAAGGACTCAGCTTCTGGAGCTGGTGTGAGAAGCTGCTCTCAGCTGGGTTCCAGCCTCAGAGTCCCCTCCGGCAGCTCAAGTCCCTCATAGCCACCAGGCTTTACTCAGATGTTCCTTCACATGAGTGGTCAGCTCAGAGACGCTGGGGGTGGGGCACAGACAGGAGAAGTGAATGCATCACAGTGCCTGTGGGTAAACAGAAGCAGAAGCTTGGGGGAGGGACACATCTCTGTCCTCATTATTTTAGGGTCCCTGAATACAAATCTATGCAAGAACCAAAGTCTGAGAATGAAAAAGCCAGAAGGCCTGTGGTTCATCTTCCAGAGTAGCAGGCAGGGCCCCATCAAAGGCCATCACTGATCACAGAATATTTCCTCTTAAGAGAGATTCTGCAGTTCTCTGTGGAACAGAAATGGTGAAGGCCGGTGTCACGCAGAGCTCTTTTTACCACGTAAACCAAAGTCTACCTCTCTTCTCCAAGTATAGCCTGAGTGATATCAAACTCTCCAGACATCTCCAATTTCACAGAGATGTATTTGATTTGATGGTGAGTAAAACATCTATGATCTGAAATACACAGGCAGGGTATGTCTTCCCCCAGAAGCACCCAGTCAACTCACTAACTTATCTGACCCTACTGGCCCCAAAATCTGTGAGCCTGTGATCTCTTTGCAATGTGGGGTCCAAGGAAGACATTGAGAAGAGATACTCTGTTCCATAGTGATCTACCCAGTGTTCTACAAGAGGACAATGGTGTGAGTCAGCTTTGTGTTGCTATGACCACACAAACAACTTAAAAGAGGAAAGGTTTATTCTGGCTCATCGTTTCAGAAGGGTCAGTCCATGGCCACATGGCCTCATCTTTTTGGGCCTGTGGCAGCCCAGAACATCATGGCCTGAGCTGGTGGCAGAGGAGGCTGGCTCACCTCACAGCAGCCAGGAAGCAGTGAACAGGAAAGATCCCAGTATTTCCCCCTCAAGGCCACACCCACAGTGGCCTCATTTCCTTCTGCTAGGCCTGGCTTCTTAAGGTCCCACTGCCTCCCAAGAGTGCTCTGGGCTGGGGACCAGGCTTTGGGGCAGGTTCCAGGTATTCTCCTAGGAATACACTAGAGTTCCTGATGCTCTCTCCCACTTTACAAAGCAGTTTTTAATTTTTTTTTGGTTTATGTTGTTTACATTTTTATTATAGAGAAATATGCATAACATAACATTTATCATTTTAACCATTTTTGGTTGTGCCACCATCACCACCATCCACTCCCAGAACTTTCTCATCCTCCCAAACTGAAACTCTGGACCCATTAAGCACCAGCTCCCTGTGTGCCTTTCCCCCAAGCCCTACTGACCCCAATTTGACCCCAAGAGTCATCTTCCTCACGTTCCCCAAGCCAGGAGAGCACGAGCAAGCGATGAAATAGACTGCAGAGCTCCCCCCAGTGTGCCGACTCCTGGAAGCTGAAACTTGTGCAAGAAACTCAGTGTGGCCCTTGTTGGAATGTCCTAGTGAAGGCAAGTGATAGAGGGCGATGATTTTCAGCAATTTGACTTCTAGTCTTCTTTAAGTGCTGCCAGAAAATGCCTCACTCTGGGGTGATTGTCCCAACCCCATGAACGATCAGGATTGTGACCAAATGAGCCTCAGCCAGGGAAAGAAGGGGACAGCTGCAGAAGATCCTCCTGTCAGGTGAATCCAACCTGTCTGATCTTTGGGGGAAAGTCTGCACTTCCAGATGCCTTATCAAATGATCACAATCACTGGGAGTAATTCCAGCACTCTGGAGATTGAGGCAGAAGGATCACTTGAGTTTGAGGCCAAAGCCTGGGCTGTAGTGAGTTCAAAGCCAATCTGAACAACACAGCCAGACCCTGTCAAAACAACAAATGATCACCATTGCTCAATTAACTGAGCAGCAAATATGTTGGGATTGCTGCTGCACACCAGCAAC